CCTTTGCCAACTGGGCTGCTGTTAGAGCACCGCAGAGCTTTAGTCGTGGAACTGAGTGTCGCCGCCGGGGAGCGACTCTTGATCTCGCTGCCAGGAATGACAGGAACAATTAGCCCTGAGCGTCCACGGTACACAGGTAAGAAACTGAGCCATAGGCTTTCTCCGAAGCATCACTGAATATGTGGATCTGTCGAGAGAAAGCGGTTTGATCCACGTGAGCTGGAACATAAGCTCGAGGTAGGGTTATACGAGGCAACAGGTGGAGTTCGCCTTCCCACTCTCTCCAAGCCTGCTGGAGCACCTGAGGAAGGAGTGGGTCATCCCAGTGACCGTGCTTATCCCACATGCTTTGGACAAGTAACTTGGCTCGGGTTGTGTAGGGTAATATGAACCCTAGGGGATCGTACTGTCGAGCCAGAACTTTATACACATTGCGCATGGTCAGTGTGCCATAGTCCAGCGGGCGGCTCTTATACCCCAAGATGTCTGATTCCCAATACCAACTAAGTCCAAGAGTAGACTCGGACAGACCAGTGTCATCGTGTGAGAGCCAGTGTTCCATACTGTCTGACTTTGCTTCCTTTGGTAGATGTGCGATGACAGTTGGGATGTTACATGCCCACTGGTGGATCTCAAACCCCCCGATACCAGAATCTCCCTGAGATTGTCCACCAACCTTGTGGCTTCAGCTGCAGTCAGCAAGCTCTGAAGGCAATTATCAACATAGAAGCAACGTTCAACCGAGTCTCTGACACCATCCTCTGGAACACTGTGATCTCTGACATGCCGTTGAAGAGCAAAGGTGGCACAACAAGGTGAGCAGGTGGTACCGAAGGGCAGGACCTGCCACTAAGATATCTGGGGGATTATCACGCTTCATATCTCTCTATATGAACCTGAGAAGCGGCCGGTCTTCTGGCAGAAGCTGGACTTGATGGAACATTTCCTTAATATCTCTGCAGATTGCTCCTGCTTGTTGCCTAAAGCGCAATAGTACACCAAGAAGAGATACACCTATGGTCGGTCCCGGAAGAAGGGCATCATTGAGGTTCAGCCCACGAAACTGGTAGGAACAATTGAAGACGAGCCGATTCTTCCCATTATGGCTGACTAGGTGATGAGGTATATACCACGATTCACCGGTCGTCGAGATCTCGTTGGGGCCTAGCTTCTTGACTGCTCCGGATTGTACCAGCTGATGTATTTCCTCACAGCTGAGGCACGCTGAGGGTCCTTAGCCAATCGGTTCTCTGTACTCCTCAAGCTCGGCAGAACGGCCTGAGGATGCCTGGAACAGGGGCATATCCCATTTTCGTTGCAACGGAGTAGCATACCTGAGAATGCCAGCGACGTCTACTCTCCTAGTCTTTACTTCCAAGAGCTCCATTGCCTCCTTGTCTTGCTTCGATCTGACCACCAACTTGTCACTCTGGAATGGCAGCACATCTATTTGGCAAAGCTTCTCAACATTCCTCATCAACTCTGTAGTCTGTGATGAAACACTGGTAAGGAGACCCTTTTGTGCGCATGGTGCCCATTGGATGAGGTGGGCAGGCCCCTGAAGTGTCCAACTTAGTCTTGTACGGATAGCTGCCGGCCCTCCTGGTGGACCCAACCTCACTGGCTCGATGGGTTTAAGCAGATGGGGGTGGTCCGCTCCTATCAATACATGTGGCTTGGCATGCTCGAATGCTTTGATAGGGAGGCCTGCCAGATGCTTATTTCTTCTTCAACATGGAGATGGGATATGAGTGATCCGCCAAGCTGAGACGCTGTGATGTGAACGCCTCTGTAATCTGAAAGCTTCTTCTGGGATGTGCAAGGGGTGAGATGCAGAAGCAGACGGATGATCCCTTCAACGTTTGGACATCCTGCCGTATTGTGCGAAGGGCAAGATTCTCTTGTCTGCCTTGTAATCCAAGTCGGTCAACAGCTTCTGGAAGGAGCATAGTGCATTCCAATCCATAGTCCAATACTGTGTAGGTGTCAAGAGTACGATCCTTATTCCGAAGAAGCACTCTCACAACCTTTATTAGGACACGAGTTGAAGCTGATGGCCGGTCCAGGTAAAGGATCTCACTACTAGTGTTCACCAGACAACTCTCTTCTATGGGTGGCTCTGCAGCTGGACGGGTGTTCACATTATGGAGGACTCTCAAGTGCTTTCCTTGATACAGGTCACAGAGTCTTTTGAGGTTGCATTGTGTTGTTTGGTGGGAACTCCCACATCTCCAGCATCTCTTATTCACCTTGATTCACTCTATAACTTCCTCCCTTGTGAGCTTCTGTATGGCTGTGCACTTATTCAGAAAGTGTTCTGAACTCTCGCAATATGAGCAGGATGGCTTTATCTTGCCTGTCCTTTTGGACTCTGAGGGGCTCTGACCCTCTCGCTTCACAGCCTTACTTTATGCAGAGCTCTCTGCCCCATGTAGCACTGTAGCCGCTGGTCTACTGATTCGCCTCTCAGCTTTGTGGCTCAAAGACCCTAGGACTCGGGTGTTGGATTGGATGTCGTAACCCTGACACCACGACTCATACTGGAGCCACTCTGCCAAGTCAAGCAGTGTATGTGTAAAGCCAGGTCGCTGATACATCTGGCGGCAGAAATTTGCCCTCAACTCCGCCGGAAGTTTTGTGAGCAGCCGTGCAACATGCGAGCCGCATCTTAGCTCACCTACTCCATCCAGGCCTAGGGTTTTCAACATGCCCACTAGGGACTGAACATGCAAAGCAAACCTCTCAAAGGCTGCTGTATCTCCTCGCCTTATCTCTGGTGAGTCCATGACAGCAGCAATCTTCTTTAAGGCGATGTGATGTGGCTGCCCAAACTTCTCATTCAATATGACCATTGTATCAGAGTATGGCATAGGCGAATTAATGTATGAATCGGCTATAAGGACAGCCTCCTCCAACCTCAGATGGTCCACAAGAACCTGATATTTGAAAAGCTCACTGGCATCCCTTGGCAACAGATTCGTTAGGGCCAGCTTCAGTCTGGAGAATTCCATGGGATCCCTATGGATGAAGAGGGGGATTTTCGGTGTTGGCCCACGGTATTCCTTCTCTTCCATTGTAGCTAATGAGGGTTGATATGGTAATTCTCGGGAGGAGGTATGCTGACTCCTGTGAGGCCCTGGTAAGCGTTTAAACGAAGGCCCAGATTTAGCCCAGTCCATGCCAGTAGGACAGCTCGTGACTGAGTAATACTGTGACCACTGAGTTGGAGTATCGTGACGCTTCCTAACGGGTGGTCTCTTAGGGGTTGAAGACAGACGACTTTGAGTAGCTGAGCTGGCCACAGCACTCTCTCTCATTAGCTGGAGTTCATTCATCATTCTGTCTGTGATGGTGACCATCTCTCTCTCCTCACCCTTTGCAGGAATTGACACTGGTTCAGTAGAGGGCCATGGTGGAGGTGGTAGCCAGTCATCATACTCATCTTCTTCCTTTCGTGTTGGAAAGCCATACTTTATAGGAGGGGGTGGTAATGGCCACGGTTCTTGTCTTGCTTTTTCTAGTGTCTTAACTGAGGCTGCAAGAGAATGAATTTCCCTCTCTACACCCCAAAGCTGTGCAGGGCTGCTCCGCATATTCTCTGTGGATCTGCGTGATGATGTGTCCTCTCTATACATCTCATACCGCTCATTCCTGCCCTCTGCATAAGGTGGAGGAGTATCTTTCCACTCTGCGCGTAGCCCAGTTGAATGTGCATCGTAGCTAGGAGAGAACTCTTCATTGTGCTCACTAATATCTTAATCCCACTGCACCTGACGAGGAAGCCTTGAGGTTTGTGCACTTTCCACTGGCCTCATCATAGCTTCTCCATCAAGGTGAGTGCTCCAGCCCTCTTGCCCATGCATATGCTGTAACAAACTTGTGCGAGGTAAGACTTGTGTCTGTTGTCTCAGTGGACCAACCTCATAGTCCTCAAGATATTGTGGCGGTCTCCGCTGCCGCTTAGGTCGAGTTGATGGGACCCGGGATGCTTCACCGCTTTGTTGCATGTTCACGGAACAACTACGAATCCGGCTCGAAGGACCAAATTTAGCTGAGGGGCTAAGGACTGTAAGGTGCTAGCTATTCCAGGTTATAGCGAAGTGCATTATCCAGTTCTTAGATTGTGCACATATTATAGATGAGCATTAATACTGATGCAGAGCAGTATCATCTTGAACTTTATGTCCTTTGACGGGTCAACATACACATGTATGTGGGTGTGGTTTTCTCTCTGGACGCACACAAACTTAAACACTCAAAGGAACATAAAGATAATCGTATGATTGTTGTTTGTCATGGAATCGCATGGCTCATTCCCGCTGAGGACCAATGATGGCTGATACAATACTAGATTGCGATTGCGCGTGCTGTGAAGCACTCCACAGAATGAAACAGCATTCCGCCAAAATAAAAGTCCCCGCGATAGAGAAAAGAGTGCTTCTGTGCGTCTGCATTAATGAGCCTTTTGCACATGTATAATTTTTTTGGGGGAAAGCAATTATAGAAGTAACTTTTATTTAGCAAGGATGCTTTAAATTTATCTAAAGTGATGATAAAGACATTTAGAATGTTACAAAAAAATTATATTTCAGATAAATGCTGTTCTTCTGAACTTTCTATTTTTCAAAGAAACCTGAAAAAATTCTACTCTGCTGTTTTCAATATTATAATAATAATAATAATAATGTTTTCTTAGCAGCAAATCAGCATATTAGAAGGATTTCTGAAGAAATCATGTGACTGGAGTAATGAGGCTAAAAATTCAGCTTTGATCACAGGAATAAATTGCATTTTAAAATATATTCAAAACTTAAATCGTAAAAATATTTCAAAATTGTACTGTTTTTGATGTACTTTGGATCAAATAAATGCAGGCTTAGTGAGCAGAAGAGACTTCTATAAGAAACATTAAAAATCGTTCTGTTCAATAACTTTTGACTGGTAGTGTAAATAAAATACAGTAATAATGAGTTTGTGGTGTTAAATTTCAGTCATTTTGACAGTAAAAGTTGACAAGCTCTCCGATGAGAAACAGCAGGATGGGATTCAGGCTGAACCCTCTTTCCAGAATTCCAGCTGATCTGACTTTCAATGCATTTGGTGCCACAAAGGTTGACTGTCTGAATGAACCTGCAAACACAAACAAAAACTCATTATTTTTCAAAGCAGTGTTTACAGAATTTGCCTCAACTGTCAAACTTGTTGGTGCTGTATGCACTTTGACATTAATAAAAAGGTTATATACTACATCTGAACGCACCTACAAGGAAGGTACATAATTAGTTGATAATCTATCTCATTCAAATGATTAAAGTTCCATTTTTTTACAATGCATTCTCAATCAGTAGAGCAAAGTGCTGATATAATGGGTTTGATTCCAGAGGCAGTTCTACGGTGAGTGTATATCTGGGGCTTAGCCCAGAGACATTAATTTATGTATCAAAATACACTGGATACACTTCAAATTAAACAGGCTATGCTGAAAAGTTACATTGGCTAAGTGGCTTAATTTTTTATATTTCATTTTTAAAGAGACAAGTATAATTAATTATAATTTGCACTTAAAAACTGCATAAAATATATTATGAAATTAATGTTTTGAATATAAAATTTAGAACAGAAATATGTAATGATAGAAAAAAATAGAATGGTAATTTTTAAAAATGAGACTAAAATTACCAGTTGGTGGCAGCAAGTCACTGTCTTAATTACTGAGTCGTTGAGTCATTTATTAAATCGGTTCGTTCAAAACTGCTGATTCATTCAGGAACAAAGTAAGAAACTGTTTTTGTTTTATGAAAGTGTCAGTGAATCACTGATTCAAGGCGTTCAAAAAAGTTTGATTAATTCTGTAATGAAACACTGCTGTGAGAAGAGATGCACAACAGGGCTTTGTTTAGAACCGCTTTTGCAAAATAGCGCAAAAAGACAATTCACAATTTAAATCATTGATTATTTTAATATTAGCTATTATTAATATTAACTTCTTTTTTTTATTGAATTTTGTTGCCCTGACACTTAGTAAAGCCTGCCACAGACCAGGCTAAATGCTAACCTATCTGTTCATATAATCGCTCTAAATGCGTGTGTGTGTCCAAGAAAGTCTGTCCATATAATAGACCTACTTAAAAATCTATATTTAATGCTATATAGTAACAATAATCTAATGTTGACAGTGAGATCGGTATTATGAATTTATAGGCTACAGTAAGTTAAAGATACCTGAAGCAGCTGCATTTTGCTGTTGAAGTGCTGGTTTAATAGAAATCATTTTAATGTGTATGAAAACTCAATCTTGATGCGCACAAGACATTGTAATAGAAACATTTGGGGCTTCAGCCCTCTTCACCCCCGGCACCGCCCCTGTTAGACTCCCAGGGAATGATTAACTTAATAAAATGTGTACTTTAAATACAATGTAACTTGTTTTGGATAAAAGCATCTGGCAAATGCGTAAATATAAATGCAATGTAAAAACTACATTTATTTTGGGTTACCTAATTCTGCATTTCTGTAAAATGGACAGCTGGCTGTATGATGATTCTGCTTCTCATAGTCAGGATCCTGTTTTTGCTTGGAGAAATCTCCTGTAACAGACAGTCACAGCATCCTTTTTGTGTTACTGTAGTTTATGATCAGAAAAATTTCTAGGGCTGTCACTAACAATAATTTTGGTAATGGAGTAATCGGACGATTATTCTGATGATTAGTCGAGTAATCTTATAATTATAATAAATTTTTGTGGTAATAAAAATAGACCAATGTGAACAAAAGCCTTTAAAATTACTTGAAGATACATGTATAATAACAATGAGACGATAATTATTCTAAATAAAAAATCTGAAGATCATATGGTTTTATTGAACAAAACTGTTAAAATATAGTATTATAAAAAATAGAGCTATTGTACTGTACATGACGCATTATAACAAATGACTGCAGACGGCGCCAACGGCCTGATCATTGTTCTACACTTTACTGAGCGATCTAATCCTTGTTTAATATTGACTAAACAACATTTAATTCAAATGCCCACTTAATCTTTAATATTTGGCCTTTTATTTACAACAGAAATGCTACAGCCACTGTAATTTCTTGAATATGTGGACTAGGGCTGTCATGATTCCTCCTCGATCCAATTCGAGTACTTAATTAAATGGCGTTTGGTCTCGTACTGTATCGCGTACCTTGTCAGTGTCGTGCGCTTTGCCTGGCCATTTGTTGGGATAAACAGGAAAGTGTGTTCAAGCGCCAGCAAAACAGTGTAAAGAAATAGTCTTTGTGAGAAGCAGTCAATCAGCAGAAGTTAAAAGCAGCTTGTAAGTGTATTTATTTTCTTATCTCAGTGTTTAGCGCAGTTGTCGTTGCTAGGAAACGCTTGTTTTGTTTACTGTGGAGATGTGCTGAAATGGCGTTTGGTCTCGTACTGTGTCGCGTACCTTGTCAGTGTCGTGTGCTTTGCTTGGCCATTTGTTGGGATAAACAGGAAAGTGGGTCCAGCTGAATTCAATTTGAGTTTTGTTAAACGAATTAAAAAGAAGCTTAGTTTACCGCGGCTGCGGTCGTGTGAAGACTGAAGAGTGTAAAGACCATCGACTCTACCGGGCGACTCCACCGGGCAGGACACCGGCGAAGGACATAAGTATTGCTTTTTATCTCTCCTCTTTCCACTTTTGTTTCAGTTTTTTTTAATCTATTTCTTACTATGTGTCAGTAAGTTGTTATTTTAGCATGTGTGTTTGCCTCAGTGTTATTTTTGTAGGATTACTGATGAACTAATGTACTTTGATTTGTATTAGTTATCTATTTTAGTTTTAGTTACAGTTGTAGTAATGTTGTCATTTTATTAGTTTAGTTATATAGGCTTTTTATTAAGTTTTTATTAAGTTTTACTTTCATTTAATTTGAGTTATTTCAGTACTTCAACATACAAAATGGAAATGAAATAATATATATATATTTAATGTATTTATATATATGTACATGTATACGTGTGTGGTTGTACATACACGTATGTAGTTGTTTTTTGGTGTTTGGCTTAGTGTTATGTTAGAATCATTATTATACTCATACCTTTTGTTCTTTTAATATTTTTGAATT